GTTTCGAATGTGCCTCGTAATTTCCTAACAAACTATATGAAGAAGATCCATGAAGACAGTAGGCGATGCAGTAACAAATGCTCAAGCCTGAGGGCAAAGACCATGTGCTATCCCACTTAGGGCTAGGCATGAATGCGTTGTCCTACACACCATCAGACTACGCTTCCAACGCCCTGGAAACCGGTGAAAAAGGCCCCAGCCAACGTGCCGATCGTGGTACTGAAACACGCAGATGAGGTAGTGATGGCGATTTGGAAATGAAAGGCCTGGTTACTTCTTCATTTCCCGTGTTCAGCACTGCGTCCGCACGTTGTGCCGCCATACCGGTGAGGTCGCTAATTTTCGTGGCATAATAAGAGCAAGAATGTTGAGTTTGGTGGCTGTGAATCAGCTGTGAGGGCTGTGGTAATCCACAGGCACATTCATGCCGTATTGAGAGCGTAGGCGCGCAGTTGACGCTTTCGCACACGTGTGGCGCAGTCCTGCAGCCCCGCTAGAGTGACGTAGACAGTATATACAGAAAGCCTGCCGTCGATGAAAGAACGCGTTTCGGACTGGATACGCGGAATGAAAACGATGAGGACCGGACTGCCCATGGGGTTGCTGTTGTGTTCTGACGTGGGGAACCGCGATGTTTTCGCGATCCGCCAGCGGAATTTGCCGCTCCACAAGATCGGGCGCGGGGGAACCGAGGCCCCTGTCAGGAATTGTTGGAAGCCTTGGATAGCCGTAAACCTCAAATTTTTGCCAATTCTGATGCTACGGCTCCTGGAAGCAATTCTCATACCGGCTGCGACACGATGAACGGAACGAAAGGCACCAATGGCAGTCCAACAGGTCCCAAACTCCTGTGGGAGCATCCTTCTCCAAAAACGACACCCATGTACCAGTTTCTCAAATTGGTGAATGAGACACATAATCTGCGGCTTTCCGACTACTCGGAGTTACATGCATGGAGTATCAACAATGTCAACAGCTTCTGGCAAAGAGCCTGGGATTTCGTGGGTATCAGGCACCAAGGAACCCCAATATCAGTCAGTCGTCTTGGGTTCATGCACATTATATTTGCTTACAATGGATAGGCTGTGGATGACGACGCGCCCATGTTTCCTCGTCCAGCTTTCTTCCCGGGAGCAACACTCAACTTCGCCGAGAACCTCCTGTTCCCCACCGCTACAGTCGATCCTTCCTCACCTGCTGTTATCGCCGCAACAGAAACCACAAGGGAGACTGTGACATGGCAGGAGCTCAGGGACAGAGTAAAGCTGTGCCAAGCCGGAATGATACATCTGGGCCTCAAGGAAGGCGATCGAGTGGCTGGCTATGTCGCGAACCACACAAGCGCCTTGGTAGCAATGCTAGCTGCGACGTCGCTGGGAGCAGTGTGGACAGCAGTCAGCCCAGATACAGGCGTCCACGCTGTGCTCGATAGATTACGTCAGATCGAGCCGGCCTTGCTCTTTGCAGACAACGCTGCCTTCTACAACGGCCGCAGCCATCCAGTACTACCCAAGGTTGCCGACATTGCGCGAGACCTGCCATCTCTCCAAGCTGTTGTTATCTTCCCTACTGTAGCCTCAGTACAGTTCGATGTCACCTCAATTCCTGTAAAATCTGGCAAAACCTACGATTACGCAACATTTACAGCACTGAAGTCAATGTCAGAGCTCGTCTTCAAGCAATTGCCGCCAGACCATCCGGTATATATCTTGTATTCAAGTGGCACGACAGGTGCACCCAAATGTATTGTCCATGGAGCCATCGGTACACTCCTTCAACACAAGAAAGAGCACATTATTCACTGCTCGATGACACCCCAGTCACGGCTCTTTTATTTTACAACTTGTACGTGGATGATGTGGCATTGGTTGGTTAGTGGACTGGCATCAGGGGCTACATTGGTACTCTATGATGGTTCTCCATTCCGCTATGTAGACAAGTCCGACCCGTCAACTTCCGTTGCAGACGACCTAGCGATGCACCGTCTGATAGATGAGTTCGGCATCACCCACTTCGGCACATCCGCAAAGTACCTATCTATTCTAGAGCAAAAGTCCGTTGACCCATCCGCTGCTGGACTTGTCATGGACAAATTGGAGGCGATCTATTCCACGGGTTCGCCACTCGCCCCTTCGACGTTCTCTTATGTATATTCCGCCTTCCCCTCGACCATCAACCTAGGCAGCATTACAGGCGGTACGGATATCATTTCATTGTTTGGCGCACCGAACCCACTTCTACCCGTCTATGAAGGCGAAATCCAAGGCGCTGGTTTAGGCATGGCGATCGCTGCGTATGACTACACAGGTGCCGACGTCTCAGCCTCGGGCGAACCGGGCGACTTGGTCTGTACCAAACCCTTCATATGTCAACCTGTGGCGTTTTGGGGACCAGAAGGAGATTCGAAGTACTGGAAGTCATATTTTGACAAGTTCACGAACGAAAAAAAGCAGCCCATCTGGCATCACGGCGACTTTGTGCGCTTCAATCCCGCCACTGGTGGGCTATGGATGCTCGGACGCAGTGACGGTATACTCAAACCTGCAGGCGTACGCTTTGGATCAGCTGAGATATACAATGTGGTGCTCCAACATTTCCCGGAAGATGTGGCAGATGCGCTTTGCATTGGGCGAAGGAGAGAGTCTGATACAGATGAGACGGTCGTGCTTTTCCTGAAGATGGCAGAAGGCCGTCAAATTTCTGACAATCTTGTTGGAAAAATAAAGACAACGATCAAACAAGCACTCAGTGCGCGCCATGTTCCCGCTGTCGTGGACGAATGTCCAGAGATACCTGTTACCACTAACGGGAAAAAGGTAGAAGGAGCTGTCAAGCAAATACTTTGCGGACTCAATGTTAAGACGAGCGCGAGCGTAGCCAACGCCGAATGCCTGGATTTTTACCGGGACTGGGCAAGGACGCATTGATTGTTCAGTTGAGATTACTCTGCCCTATACTGAACGCTGTGCAATGTTCCCATCCCACCTATCAATTACCTGTCTGGCTTGAAAAACAGCCTCCAGCCGCTGATGGCAGTGATTCAGGTGTAATCAACGAGTCAGAGCCGCGTCCAGGAATCTCCCGACTAGCAAGCCTCACTTCAACTGCAACCAGGCCAGCCCGTCACACGTTAGATGCTCGGGGTCGAGCTTAGTTACACAGTGTTGTAAAGTGCAGGCGAAAGGACAGCGCTAGCAGATCCTTTCAGCCAAAATTAACACCTCGTACTATCTGAACTACTCACGAGCTTACGCTCTTGCCTAGTGTTGCCGACCAATCCTCCCATAGCCACATCAATTCCTTCTCATTACAGCCATTGCCGCTTCTCTCAGAAGTTCTCAGCAATCATCTTGTCAACTTTGCTACACAATGCATCGACGATAGTTACTTCGGCCTCGAATGTAGCCTTGACAACACCCATAAACTCTTCTGGGTAACGCACCAAAACAGCGATGGCACCGTCAGTCGTAGCCACTCCATCTCCTGCCCAGCCTCTTGTAACCACAAAGATATCGGAAGTACTGATGTTGTTTTCGGTGTTCGCAATATGATTGTGCGCGAGGAAGGCGATGTTTTCTGAACGAGTGAGTCAGTGTCGTAAGTGAGATGGGGTCTGGCACATACGAGCTAGAACGATGACAATACGCTCAAGCTTAATTGCTCGATTGGTCGCTGCGACCTGGTCTACAGGATCGATTTCTTCATAACACTCGTTGCGGAAGGGACGTAAGAGGTCGTAGATGCGCTGTTCGAGCGCACTTGCGGGCTGGGGCGCAGACATCGGGCAATGCGGTTGCGGCTCGAGGTCTGAAGAGAGTGCTCGTTGTCCACAGGTGGTATTGCGAGTGAGAGAGCTTGGAAAAGCGGAAGTTGCAGTAAAACATGATGCCAAGCCACTGCAGTTAAACATACAAACATTGACTGTACAGTCTAGATGCTCATCCTCACCGCCACTATCACATGCTGCCGTGCCTCGAAATCCTCCCAGCACTGTTCTTGTTGATACATCTCCGTATGTCACACGCATCTTTGAGACTCTTCCAATCACCCTCTCTGTCTCCAGTTCCTTTGATAATAGCACCTGCTGCTAACCTTGCGTTTTCCTGTCTTGCTAACACACTTTCTCCCCTTTCACCTCTGAAAAACTCTCTAGCACCCTATCACACTCTTGATCAAAACTTCTACCATGCCATTTTCATCGTCCTTGTTCACACAGCAGCACATAACTGTATGTGTTCATCCCGATTCGTTGACGAACACACCCAAGGCGGCTGATCCTTATATCCCTTTATTCAAGAATACCGGTTTTGAGAGCCGTCGGAGATGTCTGGTAGGGAAATCGCTCTGCCGTAGGTGATTGGGGATCATCCGAAGATGAAGGCTGGCTAGATACGTTCTCTTTGCATGTTGGCCAGGTTATGACTGGGATGAAGTGGATGGATCAAGTACATACCGTAAAGTGTCATGAACAAGCGTCTTTCTTGTAATGACAATGCGCCGTTGGTAGAATTCTTGGAGCATTCATCGCAGTAAGGCTGTAGAAGTCGTAGAGTCGCTATTCGGGAAATTCAATGGTCATATTGGGTCGATTTACTGCGCAAGATAGGCATATTTCAACAGTGGAGATTATGAACTGATGATCGTTGAGAACGTCGTTCCTATTGTCCTGGTGGAAACAGTGGGCCCGGCGGAGTATCTGTGCGCCAAGAGGGAAATATATGTCACCGTAAGAATCTAAGTTGGTGATGAAGTACCGGTACACGGCCTTGAGGCTTTCCAGATGAGCCTCTATGTCTGTTCCCATACTTTCTTCTTCTTCCTAGGCACTGATACGTGATGTGAACCCTTCATGCTATCACTAGCCGATATTTACAGCCTATTGTAGATGAACTGACACCAGGTCGAGAGAACGGTGATAGAAGCGAAGCTTCACGTAGTCGGCTAACAGGTTCCTTCCAAGAACTTCTTGTCCAACAAGAGAGCATCGATCAAATTGCTTGCTAGCCCTCGAAGTCACCATATCCGTCATTTCCTTCCTTCGCCAGGATATCTTTGATAGCCTTGTCCACTTTCTCTCCCAGCCCGATTACGACGTTTTGACCCCAATTTACCTGCTTCCACATGACGACTGTAAACTTGCCTGGGCCGTCGTGAATACAGACTGTGGCCTTGTGGCCGACTTCACTGTTGTTGGGTCCACGGACGTCGATGACGGAAATTGAGAGCTGGGAAGCGCGGACACTAGGACCGGCAGTGTATTTCACCAGAAATGTGAGATTTCCTGAACATGGTTTATCAATTATTTGAATTTGAAGAAGTGGGAGCTACTCACCAGCGATGGTCTCAACGATGTGGGAGGGGAGTTCATCGCGGCGAGGGTTGAGATATGCGAACATGTGCTGCAGCAGAGGGTCACGGATTGGTGTAGGAATAGCCATACTGAAAAGACGTATGGTGTGAATACTGGGTATGTTTGAAGGAAAATCAGCTGCGGCGAGGGAAGGTCGAATAATCCGGGGCAGTTGGTCTGATGAGTTGGCATCGTTGCTAAACAAAAGCGGGGCCAGCACACGTCTTCACCAATTAGAGACCAGGCGAACTCGGGGATAAGATGATGTTGGTATAAATTTCGTGTGTTGTCGTTATGATACCAATATGATGCTAAGCCACCTGTCACCAGCACCCACCGCCTGCTTCTCGGTGCTGCCTGCCCAGGCGTATACCGTCGGAAGAAATACAATACCAAATGCTTGTTAATACACAATAGAGCCGCCTCATTACCCTCCAATGATACAATAGAATATACATGCAATACCAAATAAATACCCTTCCTGACCCACACGTCAGCGCTTGACCGCGACGCATTATGACATCTACATTGCTCATCACCTTCCCTCTTTGATCTTCACGCAATCAGCAAATGCGGGAAAGTTGCCTCTGAAGCTTGGGCCCAGTGTCCAGTTGTTCAAATCACGGAGATGCGTTTCAAAAGCCGGGTTGATGAGCCATTGATCATCTTCCTTGGGCAGCGGGCCTATGGATGTGATACCAGCGGACTTGTTCGCAGCAGGGGGTTGCGGGGTCGAAGGGTCTTGCGGCGAGCCGGCGTTTACATGTGTGGAGAAAGGCGAGGACACGGATACGGACGAGGTTGTCGAGAGGGTGTGGGTGTGAACTTTTGAGGCCGGGAGGAGACAGTCGCGAAGCTCATAAGGCCAATTCAGCGAGATGGTAGTTGTGAAGGGAATGAAGAAGTTCTCGAAAGATACGGGCGGTTGGCTAGTGACGAGTCTGTCGCGAAGGCGAGGCCTAGAGTAGGTTAGCCGTGCTCTCTTTCCAAACAGTTCGTAGAGTAACGATTGGTACGTACCATGGAAGATGATCAATCCACAAAGCGTGGGCAGTGAACAGCTGAGAAGGTCGTGGTGTGACCCAGTGCGGCAACCGATCGTAGTTTTCCTGCGTAGGTTCAATCTGCCAGCGCATGACCAGGAACATGATGAAGACTATCGCAACCTGCTCTGGCCTACCGCAGATGTCTGGAAATGTGCGTAGAATGTCCGTGAACAGCTTTGACAGCGGATGCGCATCAACTACACGGTCGGGATACGCTAGTGAGGTGAAGTTTGGGTACTGTGGTCCGACTAGTGTCTTCATGGGTACACCCTCGGCAGCGCGATTTTGTCGGTCTTGGAGGAAGTCGAGCAATATGACATCCAGAGGACATGTTGCCGGAAGGTTTCGAGGGAGTGTGAGGTGCGCAACCATGCTCGGCGCATACATGGCATGCTGGCTGCTGCTCACATTGCTGGGTCGCGGCTGCTGCGGTGGAGGCAGGTTTGGATCGACAGCTCTCCTTTGCCCGTTGTCGAGTATAAAATCCACGCCCAGACGTTCGTCGAAGGGCATCTCAGTCTGTAGATGGGGCGTCCGCGACTGCTCAAAATGGGGACCGGGGCTGCCATTAGAGTAGCGGCGCAGGTGGCTGTTTGGCGCATCGCTGGGATACAGCCATGCTCTTCCTCCCTCGGTCACGCTCGGTGAATGCACGCCGTTCTGGGGTGAGGCCGTGGATAGCTCGTGCGAGGCAATGTGGAATTGTCGTGGTTCGGCAGGTTGCACAGGCGCGTCGCGCTGTTGGTGAGGGTGGGTGGGAAGGGGGGACCGCTCGGCGGCGGCTGCCAGTTCTACGTATCGTCAGCTTGATTCCTTACGAAGTGCCTGGTCAACATGCCATTGAGACCGCCCGTCGCACGAACGATGGGCTGGATGATGCTCAGGACGCTCTCCAGCCTCTTCCTGATATCTGCGTTCTCCGCCTGGACCGCCTCTTTCTCGCGGAGGACGACTTGCAGGTCATGGTACGGCTGCTGACTCTCCAGGTCCCGGATGCGCTGATTGAGGCGATCGATTTGGTTCTTGGTGCGCTCTCGAATGGCACGTTGAGCTTCGCGGTCGTTTGCGCGCTTGCGGGCAAGCTGTTCAGGCGTGAGATTGGCCACGCCACGCGAATTGGGGCCAGTCCTGCGCTTTTTGTTGGGCTGACCATCGCCCGAGCCATCATCTCTAGGGGCCCCTTCGGGTGTATCTGCCTCCGCCGGCGACGCCATGCTGATCATGGATGTGTGGGTTGCGATTCAGGAGGAGAATGGGCAGCCCCGGTGGCAGGATTCTCCCGAGTCATGAGCTGGGACACTACAGCAGCGATGACTTTTGCGAGCTGCAGGTTAGAGCTCATGGGGCATAGTACGGGGTAACCGAGGAGCGATTGCGGGGACTATCGCCAACCTCGGGATGCTTGTCGGATAATGCCCTCCGCACCTGCACGATTAGTCTGCATCCCCACTTGCACCATGGGGTAGCTAGCTGGGTTGGGGTTGGGGTTGTTGTTGATGATGATGGTGGGAGCGTCCTGTTCGCATCGCATGTACCATCACAACGACACCATGGCAGATCAGAATGTAAGCAAACTGGGCATCGCTTCGGCGACTCTCAAAGCCAGTATGCGCTACGTCATCTTCTCAAAAACAAACACTAATCTTGCCAACAGTGGGCTCAGCTCTCCAACGCTCCGTCACATCACCATTCAAAGGCGAAAATGGGTCCAACACGTACTTCAAAGATGTCATGCTTGCCATGTTCCGAACCAACCTAGGGAACCTCGATCTTGCGCAAGACCGGTACACGACCGGCGCATCGTCAACTCCCACATACATGCAGCATGCGGAGAAATACAAGTTCGTACCTGATAGCATCAAGCTACCTAGTGGAACACAGGCACATTGGCTGGGTAGCAGGAGTGCGAAGACGATTTTCGTATACTTCAATGGCAAGACGGGACGCTCAGAATTGGTAAAATCCAACTAACATGAATAGGTGGCGGCTATGTAACGCCCTGCACTGCAGGTCATATGCTGTGGCTCGACGACTTCCAAAAGTCCCTCGGTCCCGATGTATCCGCACTCCTCCTCGCATACGACCTCGCACCCGAGGCAAGGTATCCCAGCCAGCTGAAGCAAGCAGTCGAGCTACTTGATTACCTTGTGCATACAGAAGGCCGTAACCCTTCCGATCTGATATTGGGCGGCGACTCCGCAGGCGGCAATCTTGTACTTGGCCTGCTCTCGCACCTCGCACACCCACATCCTGAGATCGCCCCGTTATCCATTCCGTCCAAGATTCACGCGGTACTGCTCATTTCGCCGTGGTGCTCTTTGACACAAACCAATACACCAGCATTTGTCACAAACGCGCAACGTGATATGTTTGACGCGCGAACCCTCTCTCGTTGGGCATCAGCATTCCTAGGCTCCGACTCTCCATTTGCCGGCGATTTCTACAACGAGCCTGTTCTAGCAGCTCCAGAATGGTGGGAGCCTGTTGCCGATGTCGTAGAAGAAGTCTTGATATGGGCGGGCGACAACGAAATCCTAAAGGATGGCATCGAGGCATTTGCGAAGAAATTCACACAAGGTTTTGGTAGCAAAGGTGGACTAGTTACTACTGTAGTTACACCAAAAGCGTGCCACGACGAGATGATCTTCGAACGAATACTGGGATACAAGGGTGACTCGGGCACGGGAAGTCAAAAAGTACTCGAAAGCTGGGTCAGGGCAAAGCTGTAATGATTAAACCTGGAATAACATATACTTTCACTAATGATCGATCCACCACGCACGATTGCCATCATTGACATTTTGACAATCTGTAGCATATCTTGCCTTACTCATTGTAGTTTTGGTTGCGTCTGCGCAGTTCTTCGGCTTCCCGTATTAATGAGGTAAACAACCTAGGGCTGGAAACACCATACGTAGGTCTTTCGCAAAAAAAAGCAGAGGTTGAAGCAAGGAAATGCTCATCGTTCTGTAATTGATGTTTTGAGAAGGTCGAATGGCATGTTCACCAGGCATCTACGTTCCTCTAGATCTTGCAAGAGGACGTGATGACGACAGTTGCCCAGACCACAGGTTACACATGACATGAACCTAACGTGGAATGGTTTGTTGTGGCGTGTCGAGTATACGAGAATCCGAAGAGGGACGCAGGGAGCGTGGTCGGGCCATTCAGAGACCGACCGCAGACCAACGTTACATAAACTTGTTCGTATAGCTCCTCGGACCTTGAAAGTCGGTACGTCGGAGGCAAACATGTATATCGACATCTACGATGATCACGTTCGTCTATTGTAATGTGGCTTCTCGCCCCCGTGAAGCTCGCCGCGGAGTCGCTCTACGCCTCATCGTGACGGCATCATCTTGTGCTGACCGCTCCGCACGCGATACCTAAATCACCATATGTGGCATTGCAGGCTGCAGCCATGGATAATAATCCACAATCCTGCAAAATCCCACTAGCGATGGGACGAGAAGCAATATGAATTACACGGTCATGACGCGTTGTTTGGAGTGCAGGTAAGACCCAGGCTTAGAGGCGTCACCACAAGCGTTACATCAGCATTGATACGTACATAAACTGCTGTAATCAGGCCCTACATCAGAATCATTCAAATACCATTCGACTTGCATCCCAAACATGCCTTTCACTACTCAACTCCGCACCATCTCCAGACCTTTCATCCAACAATCACACCTTTTCAAGCAAACCTCCATCAGAATGTCTTCAACCAACCAGCACGGACAGGGTGCCTCGCACGCCACTGGACAGAGCGTTGTCCCAAACAAGGTCCAAGAGGCTGCCCCTAAGGGCCTCGAGGAGAGCCTGCCAGAGAGTGTAAGTCCACAACGTCTGTACATTGCGACTTGACGCTCGCTAATGTGGCCGTAGGTTCATCCCACCGGCAGCAACCCCAACAGCCAATCTACAAGCAAGACCCACGCTCTTAACGATGGCGAGGACTCGGTCGTGCCCAAGAAGATCCAAGAGATCGTTCCTGAGTCAGTTGAGCGAGGTAAAGATCCTCCAGCTGTACAATAATGCCGCGATGCTGACAACGATGTAGCTCTCCCCAACTCTCTCCACAACACTGGAGACAAGTAAATACATTCTTCAATGACTAGAATTATTGTAGGCAGATTGCCTCTGTAGCAATAGATAATGCATCAATGTCAAAAAGACTTCAAACCAACATCTTTCGAGGTTACTATACCGTGTGTTGGCCCTGCGAAACGGTACTTGTTCATTCTGAATCGTGTTTCAAGATTTTGGAAGCTTGCTATACCCCATGTATGATCGTCTTTGACAGGTCAACATGCCCGTCAACTGAAGAGTGTACCTGACGCTAATGCTAGGCCGCGGTAAATATGACGTTGATGATGCCCCACACACCCCGCCAGATCTCCAGCCAGATCTTTTCCTAGTAATCATTGCAACACCACGCCACTCTTTTGACGTATACGCAATCCACCATGGCTTCCGCAACAGCTGCAGATATCCAGGGACCATCTCATCCCAATCCAGAAGGCCTCAACACATCGGCCAGCACGCAATTTCCCCCTATCAACATTGGCACGCGCAACTCGGTACTCGCCCAAATTCAAGCTCGCGCGGTCGAGAGAAGCTTGAAAGATGCCTACCCGGACCGGACCTTCAATATCTGCCCTGTTGTGGTGCAGGGTGATAGGGACAAGATCACACCCCTGCAGCAATTGAGCCAGGGCGAGAACGCGAAGAGTCTGTGGACAGGTGAACTGGAGAGCATGCTGGAGTCTGGCGATCTGGACATCATCGTACACTGTTTGAAGGGTACTTCATCGAACTCAGATACTAAAAGAGCGTAATAGGGCAGACTAACAGTCAGCATAGATATGCCAACGCAGCTGCCAGATCACCTCGAGATCGGCGCCATCCTCGAACGCGAAGATCCCCGCGATGCCCTCTTGATCTCCCCTCGTCTGCCGAAGGAGACTACACTAGCGACCCTCCCTCAAGGTGCTACCATTGGTACGTCATCTGTACGACGAGCCGCTACGTTAAGAAAACTATACCCACACTTGAAGTTTGCCGATCTCAGAGGCAATGTCGGAACGAGGCTGGCAAAGCTGGATGCCGAAGATTCGCCATACTCGGCCATCATTCTTGCTGCAGCCGGCTTGAAGAGAATGGGGCTCGATAATAGAATCACACAATATCTGAGTAGCACGAGCGGAGGTATGTTGCATGCGGTTGGTCAGGGTGCTCTGGGCATTGAGATCAGGAAAAACGACAAGGCCATGAAGGACATCATGAGCGGCATCCGATGCGAGCGGACAACAAGAGCCTGTTCGGCCGAACGAGCGCTACTACGCACCTTGGAAGGAGGCTGCAGCGTGCCTATCGGTGTTGAGACATCATGGAGAGGCGGCAAGGGCCTCGCAATCGGTACCCAACCAGCAAAAGACTACGACAAACACGGAAATGCAGTAGAAGAGGAAGAGCCAGATATCGACGACCAAGAACTGGTGTTGAGTGCCATGGTAGTCAGTGTAGATGGCAAAGAATTTGTTGAGTATCAGGCAGCACGAAAAGTTCGAACAGCAGAAGAAGCAGAAGAGATGGGACAAGAGGTTGCGAAGGTCTTGATCGAAAAGGGCGCAGACAAGATACTGGAAAAGATCAATGTAGAGAAGCAGTGGGCAGCTAAGAAGCAGCTGGAGGAGCTCAAGGCCAAGGCGGCCAGCTCATAGGTCGATCACCGGAGTAAGTGATTACCTACAAGTCGGTGAAGCACATGACACTAGATTCATAAACAAGACACTTTGAGCTCTCTTGCTTCATCCGGCTAACCAGCCTCTGCCACGTCCCATTCAGACACACGCAACCGTCTTGTCTATTTGCAGAAGAGTATAACAGACATACTTGTCAATGTCAGCACTTGTAGACGTGAATGAGCGAGCTCACAGTACGAGGAATTCATCAGTCTAAGACGGGAATTCGATTGGCTAAGTCGTGAAAGTATAAACCATGCCTACAAAACGGTTTCTCAGCAAGGAAGTATATTAATCCTCATACCTACTCTCAAGTCCCAAAGCACATATCTGCAAGCGCTGCAGGAACATAGCACCAAAAGCATCAATATATCTCAAAGCAACAAGCTCAAATCGTCATACTCGAAGTCATACGTTCAGCTCTACAGCCCTACTCAGGATATGTGTCAAAAACTTTGGACTCAGTACAAAGACTGCAACCACGAACACACTCCGATGGCACGAATTATACGTTGTCACATTATCGACGACGGCCTTCCTGAAACAGTTTGTAGGTTTTACAACGTCAAAAGGCGGACGATCAGATGTCCAGGTATGTGCAATGATTGTGCAGCGTTAGGCGTCGTGGCCGATGAAGGGTTCAAGGGAGGCAGGTGGGATAGCCGGTGAGATGCATGCAGGCAACATACAGCAGAGGAAGGATGTCGAGGCACATAAAGCAAGCTCTGCAAAGCAATGGATATAGGCGGACGCGCTTGTACTCTGCTGTGAAGGCGTCAGTAGTAATAACTATTGCACGGAACACAGGACTGGGCACTGTACGCACATGCTTGTTTACGACAAATCATCTAAGATGTGCTTGTAGCACAACAAAAGGACCGTGGGTATCATTGAATGAAAAGAAACTACAAATGCAAGGTCTACATGCTCATTCTCTATTGTTGTGGCTTGTACACCATGCCTCCAGTCCTCGTGTAAGCATCTGTACTCGCCGGACCGGCCCACCGTCTGCTAACCTCCTCTCTGTGCTTGACCTCCCTCTCATTCTGTACCGTGACACAGCAACAGCAGCAACAACCCTTGAGCAGATCGCTTCCAAAACTGCCATCGAGCTTATACGCACGCCGTATACGTGTTCGTTGTAGCATGGGAAACAGCCACCATAGTCCGCATGACAATCCCATAACTATACAGTGTCCATTAGTGGAGCTATGCCCGAGCATGTCTGTGGGGTCTTGCTTTGCAGATTTTTGAGAAAGGCGATACGAGGTACGGCCGTAAAGAATGCAAGGACAAAAGAGACCCGTCAGACAGGTTGAAGGATCCGGACTGCACGCACAGAGACCGTTCGACCATTCTTTTGATTTCTCGAGTTCCATATTCGGATGCGAAATTTGGCCTGGTTGGTGTGCAGCAAAATCCAGTCCGTTAGGACCATGTGCAGCATCAGGAGAGAAGACCGCATGGAAGTTGTTGTTTTGACCTGATGTAAAGCCGTGCGGTGAGTAGGGCTCGTTTGGGTATGGCGATATTCGGTTCGTGGGAGATGTTGGATCGATCCGTGGCTGATCTTTGTGCATTGAATTGGCAGAGACAGGAGTAATTGGTGTCTTGTGCGGTAATGGCGAGGTCTGATGTGTACCTGAAGGTGGTGTAGGAGGGATGGGAGGCATGGCATACGTCCGGATGTTTGTGTTGATGGGGGACAGATTGCTCATCTGCCGCGCGTGTCTGCTTTGTTGTGTATCAACTTCGGATCTCTGTTCATTAGGTTGTGGCTGTGGTATTGGAGAGACGGGCGAGAAATGTTGCGTTTGCGATGTATGCTGAGGCGAGACGGGAGAGACTGGAGGTTTAACGTCCTGCGCGTAAGACGACGGCGTGTAAGCCGTTTGGGATTGGGGCGGAACGACCGGAAGTTGCGCATCGAGCATCGATTGCGGGCGCGGATCGATAGGCGTGTATCCCACTGGCGATGTTGGCAGTGATATTGGTATCGACTGTGGCATAGGAGGATCATTTGGCGAAGATGTATATACAAAGGCGCGCATCTCCGCAGGTGTTTGCGCATAGGAGAAGTGCCTCGATGCATCAGTGCTAACTTGGGATTGCTGAGGCTGTGTCGGCTGCTGGTATGGCTGATGCTGATGCTGTGGAGTTTGTTGTTGCGATTGTGGATAGGCCGGAGCATCTTCTTCGAGAGGTTGCTGCCATGAAAACCTGTTGTGTTGTCGGGAGGTCATTCTAGGCTGAAGCTGCTGGCTGTGTCCATGCTGTCGCGGATCCATGATGCGCGTTGGTTCACGGAAAACGTATGCCTGCAATCGAGGCGTCGAGAGATAAGCTGTATCGAATGTGAAGTGGCTATTGACTTTGAGTGCAGAGCCAGCGGCAATATCCGGTGGCACAGTTAGTTGTGAGTTGTCCAAAGGTAAGCTGGATTATAGAAGATGATCAAGCCGGGGGCCAGGAGGTCTGATATCAGGTCAAAGGCCTGCACGTCAAGTCGGTACATGCACAAGTACGAGGTCCAAAGAAAGCCAGCCCTGCATCAGAGCCGCCTTGCGCTCCGGTTGGCTCTTGGCCCTGCCTCATGTCGTAGGCGAGCAGCATAGTGAATGGAGATTCGTAGAGCTCCCGCCGTAAGATGGCCCTCTTTTTAGACATGCAGTGAGGCGCGGGCTTGGCCAATCGAGGCTGGAGTTGAGGTGTGACAGCGTCGCGGAGCGAGATGGCGGGCGCTTACGGGTGGCTCGGCCCAGATCCTCTAACCAATCATGAGGCTGCCTCCTCCACTACGCGTTTTCGATGACCATTGTTGGGTCGCGCCGATGGATACTCTCCTGCATCTAGGCAAATATTGTTCATAAGTGGAAACGATGCAGACTGAACATGATGAGCACAGCCTCAGTGGCGCAGACATAGCGGGTCGAACCGTCGATTTGTTTCAAGCCAACGACGCTTGCATCATGGCAACAGCATTACAATTACGCTAACAGCATTCCAGTAATATTGAACAAATTACCGGTGGATATTGTGGTTGGACTTTGAAAGAACTCCGACGCTGCTAGTGAAGTCCCACGACACAATCAAGTATGAGATGGTCAATTGATCTGATTCGAGGCTATACAAGGGCAGCGGGTATGCGGCACCGTGGAGGTATTATGGCGATCGAGGTGAATCGGATGGAGACGACGGTATAACCTATGCGTCCTTGTCCTGTTGAGCCTTTCCACGCTCCTCCTTGTTCTCCGCACCAGGACGCTCGGTAGAGACAGTTCCTTGTAGCTTAGCAGTCTCAGCAACACCCTCGCCCTTCTTGCTCTTCTCGGGTTGCTTGGAAATCTGCGAGGTGTGTTCGGTGTTGTCGTTGGACAGTCCCTTTTGCTTGCCTGACATCTCGTTCTGGCTCTTGGTCTCCTCCTTACGGGGATCGGGCTGTACCAGTTAGCGTGCCATCAACATTCAACCTGCAGCTATACTGACCTTGTCAGATTGGTCAGGAGATTGCGTGTCCTTCTCCTCGCTGTTCTCCTTGGTGGGCTTGGATGGGTTCTGCTGGTCGCTCTTTGGCTCCTTAGATTCGTCCTTGGACTCTTCCTTGGATTCCTCCTTGGATTCCTCCTTGGTCTCCTCTTCAGGCTCCTCCTGCTTGTTCTCCTCGCCTACGGTAGATCCGGTACCAGTCTTTTGAGCACCGCCCTCGCCATGTGGGTCGCCGAGAGGGTGGTGTTCGGCGCCGTGGTTTGTATCTTGGTTTACGACAGTGTAGAGACCAACAGCGGTGCCAACTACGGCGGCGGCCATCCTGAAGATCCGATTAGCATCAAGTGTGTATCGAAGACTTAATATAAGAAGTAGGCAATCTGGTTGCTTTACAAAAACGGAATAGTACTCCCACACACACACTCCATGCTCTATTCAGAAGTTGTACACTATTCCAACCAAGATATACGCCGCATGTCCACGCTCGCGCACGCCTGAATCATCGGAAAGTGATTTGACATACCATGGGACATCACTGCTCTTAGCATCGCCCTCGGGACCGTGACCGCTGGCATATGTTCGGCGTTGGACAGCTCGTTGCCATGGCTGGAGCTCGGCAGTGCGGATATACCTCGCTGGGCGGGCAGCGCGAGCTAATGAGGAGGCGCGTAGTGCGGAAGACCTGATGAAAGACATGGTGAAGCTGTAGATGGATCAATTGAAGCTCGCGATGGGCAATTGGTGGCAGAATCGGAGTTGAGATGCGCGTAAGAGGAAGATCACGTCAGGTCGTGAGAATTATCGGTACGTCACCGGAACAGTGCACAATGTGGCCCCTGCTCCCGAGGTCTAGCTCGCGTCCTTGCATCACGTGTGGTCCTCGACATGTTTGATCCGACACTTTTACGGTCTGTAGACGGAATGCATGAAGCTTTGACGTGTGTACGCTCGTTGGCCTTTGTTATGCTGGTTGGAGCGAGCTGTGTCTCCAGTCAGTCCGAAGCAGCAATTGTCCGAGTAAGCAGTGTTAAGACACGCCGTAGCTGTCTAAGTATTGCATACAAAGCACGTATTTATACGCTTCACTACAGGCTTTGTCCAGCAAGCATAGAAGAGTAAAACAGTGCCATACTTTTACCATGTTGGGAAGCTCAAGGTCCCCTGCGAAGTCACAGAGGCCGTGCGTAGGCTGGAGCTCTCGAAAGCAACGCGCAGGCAACAATTGTCCAAAACCTTCCATCGCGCTCTTTCTCTTCTAAACCGGCCCACGGGTACCTCGCCTCGCACAATAAACCAAAGCTCTCTCACCAGCTTTTCTTTTTGTCTCTCACTCGCCGACCTCTCCACTGCGATTTTGGAGCTGCCCTGCAACCTCAACCCCACCATAGCTGCCCCGCCACACTGCACGCGCCCTAGATTGTGGGCTCACCTTTGTGATACCAGACCTGCGAAGGGCTGCAAGCCTTCTAAACACCAGCCATGGCGCCCTCTTCGGTCCCGCCCAACCCGACCGCCCATAACGTAGCCCAGCTGCTTCCCCGATTCGCCGACGATGACCCCGACTTCCGCTTCATGGCCTTGAGCGACCTACACGACATCCTCCAAGTAGCGCATCCTGGCCTGCTCCTCCACGATGATGTTGTCTCGGCAAAGACGGTCGAGGGACTGCTCACAACACTGGTCGACACCAATGGCGAGGTTCAGAACCAAGCCCTCAAGTGTCTGGGGCCCTTTGTCAACAGGATCAATGACAAGACGCTGCCTGTCATGATCGACAAGCTCTCTACTCTCCCCACAGGCAACACAGTCGACCAGTCCATACCCGCCATGGCCCTGCGAGAAGTCGTCATATCACTCCCCCGTCCCACCACCGGCGCTGCGCGCAGCAAGTCGGTACTAGATGCATACAGCGCCATCAGCAGGGTCCTGATTCCGCGTCTGATCGGATACAATGTCATACCACCAGCCCAGCAGGGCTTGACTCAGCCGCCCAAGGGCATGTTGCAGGACGATCTGGAAAAGGGCTCAGACAGCAACGCCCTCGATGTTCTCATCGAAGTCGGTCGGTGCTTTGGTTCCATGTTGCAGGATGTGGAAATCCAAGCACTGCAGCAGATTACTTTTGCAATCCTCGAGAACGACCGAGCAAGTTCCATGATGAAGAAGAAGTCCGTCACAGCCGTCTCGGTATTGGCTGGCTACTTTTCAGACCAGCTACTGAGTAATTTCCTTTCAAAGCTCATCGAACTTTTACGTGATCCCCATATCACACGCAGCAAGCGGAAACTGTACATCACCATTCTAGGATCCATGGCCCGTTCCATTCCACGTAAGTTCGGTCCCTACCTGAAGACACTGGCGCCTTTTGTCCTCAGCGCATTGAGCACACAAGAGCAAGATGAAGAGATGGACGTCTCGGACGACGAAGGCGAACGCGACCCCGAAATCGACGAGGTGCTGGAAGCCGCCCTTATCGCTCTAGATGGCTTCCTTGCCTCTTGCTCGCAGGACATGCGCATGTACACCGACGAAGCCATCGAAGCAGCAACGCGCTATCTCAAATACGATCCGAATCTCGCGCAAGACGATGATGAAGATGACGACGATATGCCGAGTGACGAAGAAGATGCGCTGGAGGGCGAAGACTTTGAAGAAGAGACAGGCTACGATGATGATGAGGACGCGAGCTGGAAGGTCCGTAGGTGTGCAGCCAAGGTGCTGTACACCCTGATTTCTACGCGAAGCAATGGCGATCTTCTCGAAGACGGAACCCTTTATGAGCGGGTTGCCCCAGCACTTATAACGAGATTCAGGGAGCGGGAGGACAACGTCCGTCTGGAAGTCATGGCCACGCTATCCAACCTCATCAAGAAGTCGGGTGACGGCCCCTCGCCTGTCAAATTCTCGGATGAAATTCCTCAAAGCGGGATGATGCTACCACCGCCAAGCAAGAAGCGTCGCCGTGGTGGTAGTGATGCCAGCATGTTTGACCTGCAGGCTAGCTCATCTTTGTCCATGGGATATGCTTCACCAGCACCAGCTAGTACACCTCCAGTCGGTCCCCGGGCCAGCTTAGCCAAGCTCAGCCCGGACATCGTCAAGGGCATTGCGCAGCTTCTGAAGCAGTCGTCATGCCCGCCCACTACTAAACAGGCATGCATCTCTCTAATCAAGGACATCGTTATCACCCAGCGTGGTGGTCTGGATGGTTATCTGAACCAACTCATCAGCCCTGTAGTAGAAGCTGCCAAGGTTGCTGGGGGCACCACAAGCAGTGCTTCCGCCACCGCCAATAGTTTGCGCACTCAAGCATTGCAGCTGATAGGAGCCATTGCCGACACTCATCCCTCCAAGTCCATTCAGCCGTATGTGGCGTCCATCATCGACGCGCTTCTTCTTGGGGTCAAGGACAAATACAGCAAATTGTCTATAGAGGCTCTCGCAGCAACAGAACAAGTTATCAAGGCGCTCACACCTCCTCGAGCAGCCACATCCGGAACGGAGAACCAGCAGCATCTGGAGCAACTATTCGATGCGCTGTTCAACCGGATATCAGCGAATGACGCCGACGTTGAAGTTCGACGGAGTGCTATCCACGTTCTGGGACTGTTACTTGGTAGGAGCTCTGGCGAGCAGGGCCTCCTTTCATCACAGAAGCGAACATCTGGACTTGAACTTTTAGCGGACCGCCTGAAGAACGAGCTCACACGGCTCGCTTCCGTACGTGCTGTTGATTCGGTTGCTGCCCATACCAAGGCGCAAAACGAGTTGTCAGCCGAGTGGGTACAGAATGTCGCACTGGAACTGGCTGCGCAACTGCGGAAGGCCAGTCGTGTATTGCGTGGTGCCAGTCTGAGCGCCCTCCGTACTCTCGCACTGAATTCGCTGTCGCGGAGCCAGCTCGATAGCCAGACCAAAGCGCAGGTGGTGGAGATGCTGCTACCGCTGCTCAACGCTAGTGACCTTCATCTCCTAGGCCCGGCTCTTATCATCCTGGCTACGTTCGTCAAGGATGATGCGCAAACCACAATGACATCCAACCTCAACGGGGCTCTTTGCCAAGTTGCTCAAGGCTCAATAAGCGGTACGCCGTTAGATGCACTTCTCAAGCTAGTGCGTATTATCGGCGAGCAACGCGCTGGACAAGCCTTAATGCAAGCGCTGCTACAACAGGTTGGTGTATCTGGGCATCCAGAGGTTGTCGGCAAGGTCATCGGTAACCTGCTCGTATATGGCGGCGACAGTGTTGGCGTGAAGCTCGAGCAATTCATCACCGAGCTTGAGACTGCTCAGGACGACAAGCGAAAGTGTCTTGCTCTTGTTGTGCTTGGAGAGTCTGCGTTGCGCCTAGGCGCTCAATCTACCGTCGATCCGAAACTATTCATCAAGTACTTTTCTACTAAGTCCGAGAACGTGCCACTTGCGGCTGCTGTCGCGCTTGGCCGAGCAGGTGCTGGAAGCGTCAGCAAGTATCTTCCCGTTATCCTGTCAACTATGGGACAACCCTCTTCTCCGCAGTATCTCTTCCTACACTCCATCAAGGAAATCCTTCAGCACGACGATACAGAGTCGGAGATCATTCCGTATGCATCAACACTTTGGCAGAATCTTGTCGTTGCTTCTCAACTCGAGGATAATAAAGCTATCGGTGCAGAATGTATTGGCAGACTTACCATCATCGATCCCAAGACTCATCTTCCTCAACTTCAGGTAAGGTCTACTTCCTATATGTGTCTTCAACAGCTAACCAGTAATCTAGGCGTTCTTGAACGACCGCAAAGGAAGCTTACGTGCTATGGTCATTTCTGCTCTACGATACACCTTCACCGACACCGACGAAGCTTATGACGAATACCTCAAACCGATTGTCGTACCTATGCTGGTACAGATGCTTAACGAGCCGGATCTTGAGAACCGTCGTCTAGCTCTTATGACATTCAACTCTGCCATGCACAACAAACCCGACATCATTCTACCTGCGCTAGACCAGCTGCTTCCACTGGCTATGAAGGAGACCGTCATCAAACCCGAGCTTATCCGTGAGGTTCAAATGGGTCCTTTCAAGCTCAAGGTCGACGACGGCCTAGAGATCCGCAAGAGCGCTTACGAGACTCTCTACGCTCTTCTTGAGAAGGCTTTTGCACGGTTATCGCCCATCGAGGTCTCAGACTTCTTCGACCGCATTGTCGCTGGTATCACTGACGAGCACGACATCCGAATCCTATGCAACCTTATGCTCACGAAGCTCATGGTAATCGCACCAGACCAGGTACGCTCGCGCCTGGATTCGCTTGCAGAGAATTTCCGCATTGTACTTGCCGTCAAGCCCAAAGAGAACGCCGTTAAGCAGGAGATTGAGAAGATTCACGAGGGTGCTAAGGGTGTGCTCAAAGTTTCCATTCAAATCAACAAGCAGATGGGTGCCGAGGCTGGCGTAGGCCAGGACGACTCACAATTACGTGTCTGGGCACAGTACTGGGATCAGGTTCAGAAAGAGCATGAGAAGGGTCTCAAGGCTGTTGCAGAGGAGCTCAAGGAGCGTGATCGTTAGTGGTGAACGCCGCAAACGATCAAGACGCCTGTATCCTTCATCTACCTTGACCAACACCACAGTGAAATTTCCCTTCCTCATGTCCTTAATAACAGGATGGATTTGCACAGAAATGTCCGATTATGCTCCTGTTCTCGATTTTCAGACAGGGAAGACACTCCTGCGGGCCTGATAAAACATGAAGGAATGTTCGAATGCATGACTCGAGAAGAGGGGAATGCATGGATTAGAAGGAAGTATTCCATAAGCGCACAGACGCAATGAATCCAAAAACATGGCATCATCGTAGCAATCCAGAGTAAGCTACATCAAGCAGTGTGACGTGATGTTATACAAACAAGCCCGCTATTCATCAGTGGTACTATATGGACACTATGCATTACAGCTACACACCGTCAGATATTCTGTATCAAGTTGGCGTGAGACATAGCGTAAACGTCAGGGTGTCGCATAGCTAGGGTACAGCTCTAAGAAATAAGTAATCCCTCTGGACACTGACCTGGTTACTGGAACAACCATAATCGAATATCTTCTTACACTCAGCCCCCACAAACCACATCCCTATTATAGCTCGATATATCCCACTACACATCGACAGTAGTGCTCACCTCTCTCAATAGTTTCTTTCACTCGTAACATCATGTCTTCCAAACATTCCCATGGCTAGTAGCGAAAAATGCGCTTCAACAACTGGTCTCGCGATGAACGGATAGTCTGTATAGTTTCCATCCCCCGTCGTCATGGAATGATCGGTAAGCGCCTTGTCTGTAACTGTTTCATTGATCCACTTTGCAAGCGATTTCACAAACAAAGCTCTCGTCTGGGGTAGGCTCGTAGCTGCGGCCCACATCTCCCAGTCACTCTTTGTCCACAGATGTCTATTATCGAGAGGCACACCGTATTCTTGGGCGACAGTAGGGTAGAAGGCTGATTCCATGAGGAAGAGGGACTTGAGGATTGAGCGGGGGTTGAACAAGAGAGCCAGATAAATGCTATAGAGAATGCTGTAGGAATTGGGGAGCTGATAGGCTAGGAGGGTATGGGTATTGGTGGTATCGATAGATGAGGCGGCCGAGAGCTCGTAGTAGTCGTATGCTAAGGTTACATATCTGGTCGCTAGTGTGATGTCTCCGAGAGCTGAGGCAATACCACCCATGCAGTTTATGGCCACGATACCTCTTATCGCGAGGTTAGTATTATTGGCGATGGGATCGTTAAAATCATCTTTGGTCTCGTCAATATGGGTCTATACGCGTTGTTACTTTAGAACATGACTTACCTGTAGTAGTCTGTTGTTCAGGATATAGGCTCTTTTCAATCACGTAAACCGTCCGTCGTTTGATTATATCAAAGTGCGTTGCCAGATATCCAGTGTTATTAGTAGCCATGAAGTACGAATAAGCCAGGATGATCATGTTGGCGCCCTCTTCAACAGGCATGGCTTCTTCGCCCCACTCGCCCGGTATGCTTGAGCTGAAATAGCCTATAGCATCTGGATAAAAGCGACCAATATCATGCATGGCATATTGCTCATGGTAGAGTCCAGAATCCTGGAACTCGAAGATGGGCTTAAGCAGCAAGCGAAGAAGCTCAGGATCTGCGTAAAGCCAAAAGGGCAATGCAGGATAGATCACGTCAACTGTGTTCACCTTCCCGTCTAAGGAGATTTCTTTCTGGAAGATGGTTGCTCCCGTAGCGTTGTCTGCAGATTCTGTGAGAACGTTCGCAGCCAAGATCTGGCGAGTGGAAAGTGTAAGAATGGCATAGTAGGACTCCTCTTCCGACATAGAAGATACTTCTGTACTGTCATCTTTCGCTCTATCCCTAGCGTAGTAGGTATCGACGTCATGGCGAAGTTGCATGGTTCAAACTTTGGCCTCTTTCGCAGAAGCGGTGTAGTCTTGGTAGTGTTTACTGATCATGTTGTTGATGGTGAAATAACAATTATTCGTCATCCACCATGGCTGAAGCTCGACATCCCCGATGGCGGTACGGTAGTGCACATCAGGCTCTTGGGTCGTACTGACGGTGTATAACACCGATCCTGACTGGCTGGCCGTGAAGGCATGGGAATAAGCGAACACAGGCATCCTGTCGCGGCTGATCCTGATCAAAGGAACGATCCAGTGCGCCGTCGCGAACGAACTGCTTCCGTGTAGTGGCTGCTAATCCATTGGCGAAACTGAATTCTGTGGCATGGCGAGGAGAAGAAATGTAGTGTAGCTTGCCCCAGTATGGTTCACTTCTAAGACCACGTTCAGACCATGAAACCTGATCCAGGATCTCTGCTTCCCTTCGAGCTAGTCAGATACGTACCAAACATGTTCTTCTTTCAATGAACTCACCAATGGTATAATGTTTCGGGAGTTCCTGTGCCCTTGGTTGGGCATTCGTGACCATCGAAAGACTCGCTGGGACGGTCGATACTCCATCGCATTGTTGAATTGCCATCCGCTAGCCAACTGGTATCCACATCTGAATAAATTTGTACATCATGTGAAGTTCCATCGGTGGTGATGTACGCAATTTCCAGATAGCTGAGCGGAACACTACTCTTACAAAGATCTTGCGGCAGGATAGGAGAAAAGAATCGCGCCTCGACTCTCACGGGTCCAGCGTCAAAAGTGAAAATACTGTAGCTATAGTTACGTGTGCGAAGTCAATTTATATCTCATGTGCAGTTCATACAGGAATGTTACGTACTGTGAGTCGTAAGATACGGTCAGCGGTATTGCTTTATGGAGATTGGTGACGTCAGGCGAGTCCCCCATGTATTCGTAAGACGTTCCATCCACACGTATAATACCAGTCCATCCTATATGTCTTCCGTTCCAAAAAGTAATGTTTCGATTGTTAAGTGTGCTGCCACCATAAGTCGTGCTCCAGGCGCTGGTGTAAGGCGACCGAACTGCCAGAAGTACTGAAGGTGGTCGTAGAGGCGAGTATATTGGACTGTATATAGTGAGCAATGCTTGAGTTGTAGTGACGATAACACGAACTGTGGCTGTGGCGCAATTGCATGGCCTATTCCAAGCAGCAAGAGGATGTACAAGAACATGTTCTAGGAACTTGCTTAGGAGAGGACCATACTGCTACCTCGGGCGATCTATTATACTGAACCGATTCCGGTACAGAATTCTGTACTCTTGTTCAACAGTGTGCAATACCTACCAGGAGATGCTGAGCCAAGTAGTCGGAATGTTACCGTGACACGGCTTCTTGCAGCAATTCGTATTGCAGACCATGACTATGGATAACTGTGACAGGCTAAAAGCCTATCTAGGCAGGTCGTAGTGAATGTAATAGTATATCACTACGATGTCCAGAAAAGAGCAGTCGAGAGCTGTTCACATAACTCTATCGAGAGGGCATCGAATACACCATGTCTCGCATCATATCTCTAGATAATACTCCTTTGATTGCGTGAGTAGGGCGATTAAATATTGCTGGCGTAACCTCTTGTCGTCGGGCAGGCGGACACTTGTATTCGCGTGGATCATCGCGTTGTGAGAGGGGCAATATTGATTGGTAACGAACCACGAAACTTCGAGGAAAAGGGGTCATTGACACGATGCATTGCGAATCGTTCGAGGCGACTGTACTGTTGGGGGAAGGGGGACGAGAACTGCTGACTCTAGCGCGAGGGGTCCGGATCCGAAGCTTGGAGCGCGTCATCCGCTCCTGCCTCCTCCGAGCCCCGTCATCTCCGGCTCTGAAGAAGTCCGCCGCTGCGTCCAGGTCGTCCGTCATAGTATGATTCTGACTGCAGCCCGTAATCTTCTAGGTCTGTTTAGGCAAAATATGATCCATTTCCCGAAGTAAGCACCACGTGCGACTGCCTACGGATCCGCCAATCAAGCTTGCCTGACAGTACAGAGGCGTGAGACATGAAAGGGATGACTAAGTTCTTTGCGGCCTGACAGACGCACGACTTGACACTTGCAGCATAATCACCAGGTGGTATTGGATTAAGAAAAATCGGTATTTAAGAGGCTGATGATACCCAAGCATAAACCCGCAGAACTTTGATATGGCTTCTAACACTGAACACCAGCCAAAACAGGTCGCTATCTTACTTGAAGGCCAAAACAAAGTCGATGTGTATGAAGCCACAGGTGGCGCCGTTACTTCTCAATTCGCAGCTCACAACTTGTCTCTCCTCCCACCCATACCCCCAACCTCGGTTATCCACGACAACGCATGTGGTGCCGGAACAGTCTCTCGCATAATTCTTTCCTCAAATGCGCTATCAGATCTAAAGATATACGCCACGGATATCGATCAAGTCTTCCTCGACAAGCTTCGATCAGATGCAGATAGAAACTCCTGGCCGATCTATGTGTCCAACCAGAAGTCTGAGAGTCTATCGTTTCCCGACAACCACTTTACGCACTCTATCAACAACATCGGTATTTTCTTTACTACTGGTGCTGGTCTCGACGGTGCCAAAGAGATCTACCGTACACTTCAACCTGGCGGGACCGCTGTAGTAAATTGCTGGGAGGATGTCACTTGGTTACCACCCTTTGTGCTCGTACATCAAGCACTCCGTCCAGGAAACCCCTACCCAGCACCTCCCATCATCTGGAAAGACGGGCAGCAAATCCAGAGAGTGATGTTGGAAGCAGGCTTCTTGAAGGAGAATATGAGAGTCGAAAGGAGCGAGGCGTGGGCGAAGACTACCGACTTGAAGGACTGGGCAGAAAAGTCTTGGGCGTATTTGGGTAACATAGGGGGCTGGAAGGAGACGGATGGTGAGAGATGGGACGAAGCTGTCGATCTACTTGCGAAGCATATCTTGGAGCAGGAGGGCACCAAGAAGGTTGGAGAGGAAGTATGGATGAGGGCTAGTCAATGGGTGGTTATCGCTCAGAAGTAAGCTTCGCTAGAGTAGTAGCATAGTATGTTCATCTGCGTCGTGATACCATGCTATGGGATATTGTCGTCTGTGGTGTTAGGGAAAGGTTGGGAACTACAGTATCCAAGCATGTACTGCAGAGCCATCATCAAATTTCATCAAATTCGATAACCTGCGTTCTCTAGCATGATAGCCATCGGCATACGCCACACCCTTAACTGTACATTTCCACAATTGGCTCCTAGACACAACTTATAACAAAATTGCTAGCGCTGGAAATCAAGTCCAATTGTTGAAGTTGATTGTTGGGCGAGTTGGGCGGGCCAGAAGGCGGTGGTGACGGCGTTGTAGGATCAGGTTTCTTTCATGGATATTAGTTCATGTTTGATTTGTATGTTCAAATGCTGAGAACCTACCGGGCCGTGGATTGCAGGCTGTGCTTTACCAGTTGAGCTGGCTGAGTTTGGGCGTGGCGGCGATGGAGGAGTGGGAGGAGGAAGGGGATCTGGGTTTCTTGGTAGATGTAAGAGGGACTGGTCAATGAGACACATGTTCTTTGTGTAATTGGTGGTTGTTGATTTAGTTGGACAGACAACGCTGTTGCTTAGGCTTTGATAGATGCTGTAGCTGTATCGTATTAGAAGATGTTATGGCTTTTATGCAAGAGGTCCTAGAGCGCATCGAGGACATTGTATATATACTTCTCTACTTGATTGAATGTATTGTGTTGGTACATCATTGAAGTATGACAGCGTTTCGACTATCCGAGTGGTAATCCTATGGCAACGCAAAACGATGTCGCGATGGAGATTCTTGAATGGAGATCTCCAAGTCGCAGACGTAAGCAATCGACCAAACAGTCGACTCTCGCTCTTGGGTGTAGGCGTACATGTCAGCATAGCGACAAGTGACGTTGGTTGTCAACGGTTGCGCCCTCTTCCAGGGCTGTCTATGTTCTTTTGGGAACCTTTCAGCTGTTTAGTTAGTGCATTCCATGAAACTGTGTGCCATGCAATGTGGTGATGATATGTTACCACGAAACAAGGAAGCACAATCAAGCCTCATGTTCGATATTCATAAGCTCACCGCGATGAACAGTAAACATTAAGTATGCTACATAGATATGTACACGTGCAGTCGGACCTCGTGATAAACAAAGTAAGATCAGTCTCCCAGAGACTAAAGCCTGTCTAACGGAAAGTGGTATATCAAGCACCACCCAAAGCGACCACAAGAAGTGGTGCTTGTCTATCATTCAACACCGATACAAAAGATAATTATAAGGTGTAGCGAATGTATAGAGTAAGGGGTATAACGCAGAAGAGATGGTAAAGAAACAGCGGACTGGCCGGGTATCAGAAAGAATGAAGAGGGTGAATATTCATGCAAAAGGCCCAAAAAACCAGATCGCTAAAGGACGTGACAAAAGAAAAGCAGAATATAAGCAAAGAAGAAGCAATAAAGGCAACGTTAGAAGTAAGCAGTTCAAGCCATCATCATGAGTCTTGTACCACGCTTCTGGAGATTTCGCGGTCTGTAATTGCCCGGGCCTAGGTTACTCCTCGGAGGAGCTGCGGCACTTTGCGCATGTCGATCACAGTATCGCCGACCAGCGACCTCGAAGTAACCGTCGCGGAGGACGATGCGGCAGGTCGTGCATGTGAAACATCTTGGATGAAACTTTTGGCGCAAGTCCGTTTCGAGATATTGGCCTTCGATGCCGCGGTTGCAGGCATTGCACAGAGATCCGTTGAGCTTGTGGTAGTGTTGTTCACAGTATGGCGAGTTCTCGAAGACATAAAACTCCGCTGTCGGAAAGGGATCGGCGCATGTTCTGCAGACAAAGCAATGCTTGTGGTAGCGTCCAGTAAGGCGACCAGAAGAATCCTTCACGGACTTTCCAACGATCGGTTCGGAGCACCCGCGACAGTTGCCTTTGCTAGAAGCTTTGGGTCGGCGCACCTCTTGCTGCTGAGGTTCGGGATCGGCCATACGCCTCGGTGG